GACTGAAGGGCCCCAGGTTGGGTTCCGGTCAAGGGCACATGCCAGGGCTGCTGGCTCAGTCCTCAGTGTGGGCATGTAGGAGGCAGCTGATCAATGGTTTTCTCTCATCATTGATGTTTCTATCTCCTCCTCTTCCTTCCTCTCTGAAATCAATAAAAACAAAGAAAACAAAAATCATAAAAACAAGAAGAGGAAAGAGAGGGCCATCTGTGAAGGCTGGACGTGTAGAGAGAGGGTTAGCCCTGTAAATCCAGGTGCTGGGGGGGGGGGGGGGGCAGAGAATCCTGGGGTGAAAGACAAAGCTCTGCCTGTGAGAGACACAGAAAGAGAAGCAAGGGGATCCCAGGAATGTGCTAGGAACTGGAGGAGCCTGGGAGGGAGCGAGCGGCTCTGGTGGAAGGGTCTCCAGGTCTGCTCCTCCAGCCACTCCTCCCGGGGGCAGGCGCAGCGAGTGCCCGGCCCCTGCCGGCCTCGGCTGGGCCTGCGCTGGCTCCTGGTCTCACAGCCCCCTCGCCCAGGCGCCAAACAGGGCTCTTCTTACGGAGCGGTGTCAGGGGCTGTGTGTATCTTACTTAACCCTCACATATCACATCAGTTCATGTGTTCTTAGACCCCCCCTCCCCCATTTTCCTAACGGGGACACTGAGCTCACAGAGGTGAAGGCACCTGTCTGCAGTCACGTAGCTGAGGGCGGGGCATCTTTGGCTCCAGAATGATGCTCCCAGCAAGGGCTGGCTGCAAACTCTGTGTCCCAGGAAGCCAGCTGCCCGCATCCCCCCTCCTCCCGGTGCGGGTGACGGCAAAGACTGAGGCACTGCAGCTGTAGACACATCTTTCCCTCCGGGAAGTGAGAGCAATATAGCGAGGATGGTGGTGAGGGTAAGTGAGATGACAAATGTAAAAATCCCCAAACTGATTGTGCAGGAAATTATAGCAGTTACCGTATACTGGGTGTTTATTACATGGAGGCACAGCCTGGACCATTTGAATGAACAATTTTATTTTTATTTTTATTGTTATTTTTATTTTATTGATTTTTTACAGAGAGGAAGAGAGAGGGATAGAGAGCTAGAAACGTCGATGAGAGAGAAACATCGACCAGCTGCCTCTTGCACACCTCCTACTGGGGATGTGCCTGCAATCAATGTACATGCCCTTGACTGGAATCGAACCTGGGACCTTTCAGTCCGTAGAACGATGCTCTACCACTGAGCCAAACCGGTTTTGGCCAATTTTATTTTTAGTAAGAACTCAAGAAGTAGATATTGTTATCTCTGTTTTGTACATCACAGAAACGGACGCTCCAGGAAGTTAATGACCCCAATCACTAGCCAATCGCTCAGCTAGTGAACGGGGAGCTGGTATTTTAATGGCGCTTGCTCTGCTGTGCACTCTGAACTAACACACAGTCCACTGCCCCGTGAAGCGGTGTCTCCTTTCCCCTCCCCACCGGCCTCCGGGCCCTGCCAGGAGAGAGCTGGGGGCTGGAGAGCAATCTGAGCGCTGAGAGAAGTAACACCCTATCCTTGGGCCTCAGTTTCTCCATCTGAAAACCGAACAGATTAGGCAAGACATGTGGTTCTTGAACATACGGGTCACTGCTCTGAGAGCTAACGAAAGCCACGGCCCTGCGTCCGCAGAGAATACACACACAGTGTGCTGTGGCCTCCAGACTGGGAACCCCCGAGTCAGACCTTTCTACTGTCCTTTCTGGTGCTGAGGGTTTATTGATTTTAAATCAGAAACCAAGCCCTAGATGATTTGGCTCAGTGGATACAGCGTCCCAGGTTCGATTCCAGCCTAGGGCATGTATCTCGGCTGCAGGCTCCTCCCTGGCCTGGGATCAGTGTGTTTCCCTCACATTGGTTTTCCTTTCTGTCTTTCCCTCTCTCTAAAAACCAATGGGAAATATCCTCAGGCAAGGATTGAAAAGAATGACAGAGACCCAGGCGTCACAGACGCAGGCCCGGTTTAGACTCCTGGCCTGGGGGCTCCCTCTTGCATCGTTTACCCTGTGCCACATGACGATGCTTCAGTCACACAATGGCAACGGAGCCAAAAACTCCCATCCTCCCCTGGTGCTGGAGCCACGTCACCTCACAGCCCAGAGGTTGCAAAGAGCAAGGATGTGGTGCAATGGGAACGATGTTAACTCAGGGTGAGGCCGACCCGAGGAGCTCCTGGCCGTGGCTCCGAGGGACGGACAGGGAGTGGCTGGATTGGCAGGGTGGGCACGGCGGGCATGCTGCAGAGGAGGTAGAGGACAGAAACTGCAGGGCACGGATAAGACCCTCGGGAAGAGCCACAGGGAAGCTGTAGCAGGGCTTTGCAGACCCAATAAACCCTTTAAAAAGGTGGAAGACCCGGGCCTGGCGGCTGTGGCCGGGTGCTTGGCTGTGGCCCATTCATCAAAGGGTCACGGGTGTGATTCCCAAATGCCCAGGCTGCAGGCTTGCCCCCTGGTGGTGGGCGGCAGGGGCAGCAGCTTGATGCTGTACTCTCCAATTAATATTCCCCCCCTTCTAAAAATCAATAAACTATGCTTTTAAAACATTTTTTTATTTTAAAAAATATTTTTACTGATTTCAGAGAGGAAGGGAGAGGAGGAGAGAGAGATAGAGACATCAATGATGAGAGTGAATCATCGATGAGCTGCCTTCTACACACTTGATCTACTGGGGATCAGAGCCCGAAACCTAGACAAAATTGAGCTTCCTGGCTCATAGGCTGATGTTCAACCAAGGAGCCCCGCTGGCCGGGCTTTTATACCATACTAGTGGCCCGGTGCATGAAATCCGTGCATGGGGGTGGGTGTCCCTCAGCCCAGCCTGCACTCTCTCCAATCTGGGACCCCTTGGGGGATGTCTGACTACTTGTTTAGGCTCAATCCCACAGAAATAGGACCTAAACAGGCAGTTGGATATCCCTTTCACAGTCTGGTATCACTGGCTCCTAACAACTCACCTGCCTGCCTGACTGATTGCCCCTAACCACTCTGCCTGATGGTCTGCTTGCCCCAACATCCACACTCCCCTCTCTCCCCCAGCCTGCTCTCCTCTGCCTCAGCCCTGCCACCATGGTTTTGTCTGGAAGGACGTCCAGAAGATCTGGTCTAATTAGCATATTACCCTTTTATTAGTATAGATTTTTATCGTACCTTTTCTATGTGTAGATATGTTTATTTGCACAAATACCCATGTTACAACTGCCTGTGGAGTTCAGACAGTAACATGCCGGCCAGGGCCGTAGCCTGGGAGCAGTGGGCTGCACCAGACAGCTGAGGTGTGCAGCAGGCTCTACCACCCTGTGCGAGGCTCTCCGGGATGTCCTCAGCATCGCCCGCGAGGCCGTTCCCAGAAGGCGCCCCTGCTGTTAACGAGGCACGACTGTAGTCGCTGACTTACTCACTGTCTTCCCAGGGGCGTGAGCTCCGTGAAGGTGATGTCTGATTTTGGCTTGGTGTTTCCATCAGTGCCTGGAACATCTGAATAAATGACTGACTGAACGGCAGAGGGACTGAGGGAGAAGGTTTGGGCCCTCCATGTGACTAGGTCAGCAGTAATCTTACTCAGCCGGCCCCGTGGCGCTCCCAAGGCTGGTCGGTCACCCGCAGGACCTGCTGGAGCAAAGCCGGGCCCCTCCTGCAATTCAGTAGGTTTGGGCGGGGCCTGGTCCTTTGTGTTTCAAAGTCCTGTTGCTGCTCCTCTGGGGACATGTCTGAGAACCACCAGGGTATGTGTGGCTCTCCTGTGCTATGGAGTTTACAAGGTAACGTGGTGGGTGAACGAGTCCATCGAATGATAAAAGCACCTCCCGCCTGCGGCGTGGCTCAGTGGGTGAGCCTTCACCTCTGAACCGGGAGGTCAAGGTTTGATTCTGGTCAAGGTCACACGCCCAGGTTGTAGGCTTGATCCCCAGTAGGGGTCATGCAGGAGGCAGCCAGTCAATGAGTCTCTCTCATCATTGATGTTTCTATCTCTCGCTCCCTCTCCCTTTCTCTCTGAAATCAGGAGATTTCAATAAAAAAAATATTTTAAAAGTGCATCCCTATGGGATCCATAGCTGACATCACCACACTCCTCCATTAGAGAACCTCACTGGACCGCTTTTCTCTCCCCAGTGCGCTTCTCCGAGATCTACTTCCTGGCGCTGGCCATCGGCTCCGCCTGCGCCCTCATGATCATCATAGTGATCGGCGTGGTCCTGTTCCAGCACTTCCGGAAGCGGCGGTGGGCCGAGAGGGCGCACAAAGTGGTGGAGATCACACCGTAAGGCTGGGCCTCTCCTCGCTCTCGTCCAGGGCAGCGCCTGGAGCTCACAGGGCGGCTGCTCACTGCGGAGCCTGCTCTGTCCTCTGGGTGAATCTTAGAGGAAGGGTCAGAGCCACAGGATGAGCACATGGGTGGGGACTGGTGACTTTACAAAAGGACTTTTAGTTTTACAGACTTTCTTTATGATGGAGGATTTGATATTGAAATCTGTTTCATCAGATGGGTATGAAGTTTATCCGGGAGATCACTTAGTAAGTTATGTAATGTCTTATCACCGGGGTGTGCACCTGAAACTAATATAATAATGCATAAGAAACTAAAATCTGTTAGATAAAGCTTTTTAAGATCACTCCTGCCATGGCCAGAATGCTTGGGGGTTATAGTATACCCTGTGCATCTAAGGGTCCAGGGTTCAGTTCCCGGTCAAGAGCATGTATCTGGGCTGCAGGTTCAATCCCTGGCCCTGGTAGGGGCACTTGCAGGAGGTAAGTAATTGATGTGTCTCTCTTAGATCCATTTGTTGTTTTGTTCTCTCTCTCTTCCCCTCCCTCTTTCCCACTCTCTCTAAAGAGTCAATGAAAAAAAAAAATCCTTGGGTGAGGATTAATCAAAACAGAAAAAAAGAGAGAAAGAAAAAAGAATACTCCTTACCTTTAATGTAAAGCATACATTTCTAAGAACCACTGAGCAGTCAGCAGGTGATTATGAGTCAGTACCTAGGGAAGTCAGCCATGCTGCTGTTAGGTGCTCAATAAATATTTTTTACTGAGATAAAATTTGCATACTATTCACCCTTTTAGTAGTCTACAGTCACCACTAATGCCAGGACATATTCATCCCTAAGGGAACTCCATACCCTCTTGCTGTCACTCCCTATACCCCACTCTCACCGGCCCCTGCCTACTCTGCCGTCTGTCTCTGTGGGTTGGCCTGTTCTGGACATTTCCCATAAATAGAATCATACAACATGTGGCCTTTGTGTCTGGATTATTTGACTCATTATAGTGTTTTCAAAGTTCATTCATGTTATAACATGTAGTAGCACTTCATTCCACTGTATGTATATATTGATATCACATTTTGTTTATTCATTTAATCAATGGACATTTAAGTTTTCTCTACTTTTTGGCTGCTATGGCTAATGCTGCTATAAGCATATGTCTATAAATTTGTGTGTAGTCATATGTTTTTTTTTATAATTTAAATTCTTTATTATTGAAAGTACTACATATGTCTCCTGTTTTCCCAAGTGACCTTTTCTAGCCACTCCCGCCCGGACATATGTTTCCACTCTTCTGGGTCTGTACCTGGGAGTGAAACTGCTCTCATACCGATGTTTACCTTTCCCAAGTGTTCCCAGACCATTTTCTACAACAGCTGCACCAGGTTCCATCCCCACCAGCGATGTGTGAGGATCCCAGTTTGTTCGCATCATTGACAACACTTATTATTGTCTGTCCTTTTGATTATAGCCACAGTGGATGTCACGTGGCTTCTTATTGAGGTGATTTAAAAAATTTTTACTTATTGATTTGAGTGAGAGAGGCAGAAGAAGAAGAGAGAGATTTGTTGTCCACTTATTTTTGCACTCATTGGTTGCTTCTTGTATGTGTCTTGACTGGGGATTGAACTGCCAACCTTGGTGAATAGGGAAGATGCTCTAACTAACTGAGCTACCTGGTCAGGGCTCATTGAGGTTTTGATTTGCATTTTCCTAAGGACTAGTGATACTGAACATCTTTCCATGAATTTATTGACCATTTGTATATATTTTTGGAGATATATCTATTCAAATGTTTTGCTTATTTAAAAATTGGGTTGTCTTTTATATTGAGCTGTAAAAGCTCCTTATATATTTTGGAATGTCTAAGAGTGCTTCATTAGATGGATGATTTGCAATGATTTTCTCTCATTCTGTGGGTCGTTTTTTCACTTTTTTCATGGTGCCTTTTGAAGCACAAAAGTTTAAAATTTTGATGAAGTCCAATTTATTTTTTTTCCTGTTTTTGCTTATGTTATTGGTGTTGTAGCTAAGATACCATTGCTTACCCCAATATGATGCAGATTTGTGCTTATGCTTTCTTCTAAGACTTTTACAGTTTTAGTTCTTACATTTAGGCCTTTGATTGAGTTTGAGTTAATTTTTGTAGATGAAGTTGGAGTCCAAATTCATGCTTTGCGCAGGGTGCAGGTTTTTGGTACTCCCAGCACCATTTGCTTCTTTTCCTCAAGAAATATTTACTGAACTAAATAGAATCGATTTTAAGGAGCCTAAGGAACTCACCTTTGAGGCTCTGGTTTAATCAGAATATAATGAATAAAGATGACTTCTAGGTCAGCAGAAAACCTTTTCTGTCTTTTTAAAAATGTTCAGGTACAATTTACTCTCAATATTATTTTATATTGGTTTCAGGTGTACAGTGTAGTGACTGGGCAATCATATACTTTTCACAGTGTTCCCTCGATATGCAGGGCTCACCTGGCCCCATGTGGTTCTCTATGCTCCACTTCACACCCCCTTGATTATTTTGTAACTACCCATTTTTACTTAATTCCTTCACCTCCTTCCTTCCCCTCAGACTATTTTCTATTTTGAATAAGGAGTAGAATTAGAGGTAAGATACTAATAGTAAACTAAGGTATCTGCTTTAAGTCCCTGGAATTCCCTAATTATATGATCCCCTTCTAAAGATATTCTGGAAAGTGTCTAAGTCCTGGGCAGGCACTGAGTGTGAGAGGTTAGGCGGCCTGGCGCCCTGGCTCTCCGGAAGCTGGGCTCTATATCCAGGTGCATTTAATTCTCCCCAAAATGTGGGGAAGAGTGCCTGGCCTGGAGCTATGTAGGATTCGCCTCCCTTGCTCTGGTCTTGTTGGCTTGACATTGGTTTCCGCTTCTGTCTCCCAGAAAAGAAGAAGAAAGACTCAACCAAGAGAAGAAGGTGGCCGTTTACCTGGAAGACACAGACTAGCGTTCCCCGGCCTCAGCGGTGAGGTCACAGATGGGTTCCTTTCTTTCCGCATCTTGTCGCTCATCTCCAATGTGGACCTCCCAGATGATATGATTGTTAAGTGTTTCCTATGTGAAAGGAGAGGAGCTGGGTCAGGGAGGTAAATTCTGTAATGGATGGCTTCTCCTTTGAGTGTGATTTGTGCAGTCTTAGGAAGCTAGGTTGTTAAAGCTGGGAGAATTCTGATTTGAGAATTCTTTATTTAAGAAGAATAAATTAACTTTCAACATCTAAATAAAATATTTTTATTGATTGGGTTGAGAGAGAGAGAGAGAGAGAGAGAGAGGGTGTCCTACTTATTTATGCCTCATTGGTTGACCCTTGGATATGTTCTGACTGGGGATGAACCTGAAACCTTGGGGTCAGGATGACACTCTAACCAACTGAGCTACCAGCCAGAGCCTACTGAATATTGCTTTAAAAAAAGATAGGCCTTTCATTTCAAAAGAACTATTCACTTCCTCTCATGTCGTTATTGGGACCATAGGTCCAGTTTTAATAGTATGTGATTTTGTTTTTCTAGTTTTCAGGTTTATCAGGTTTAAAACATAGGATGATTTTTTTTTCATATGATCAGAATTTCTTCTATTCTCTGAAGTAGGTCCACTGTTATTATTTGTAAAAAGAGTCACATTTTTATAGCCTAAGACTCCAGTGAAAGTATCTTCAGGATCTATAAAGCAGACTACGGAGAGAAAGGATTCTATCATAAACCCAGAAAGACAAATTTGGTATCAGAGAGATTTTGCAAAAGGTTATTTTCTTTTGAAAATCAAGCAGATTTTCCAACATGCGCGGGTCCTGGAAAAAAGATGGGGCTCTTTTATATACAAAACATGTAAGGAGCTGACACAGTCAAGTGTGATGTGTGGTGTGTGATGTGATGTGTGGACCCCGACTGGATGGCGCTAGTTTGAACAGACTAGTTGTAAAAAGATTTGGGGGACAACTGGGAGCCTTGAATATGAAAATTTGAATATGGATATTAGGAAATCATTAATTTTATTAGGTATAACAAGGGTGTTGGTGTTGTGGTTAAATAGGAAAATGTTCCTATTCTAAAAATCGGAATATTTGCCAGGGAAGCAATATCAGCCGAAAAGAAAATCTAAGTAAGGCAAATGCTTTAAGATTAGGCGATGGGTGAATGCCTGTCTTATCTACTTTTCTGTTTGTCTGATTTTGCTTACAATTAAAGGCAGAGAGGAAGGGAGGAGAGAGGAGAAATGTGTGTGAGAGTGAGTATAGATCAACCAGTATCCAAAGGGGCAGCGGCCATGAATTAAGGACCCTGACTCTGAGAATAAAGATTAGGAAACGACTTTTAAAGTTAAATCAGGGGAGGATAAATACATTTAAGAACATTTTCATTCACAATGGGGAACAGGTTTATCAATATGTACTGACAGCAAACCCTCCGTGTGTCAGACCAATTCTGGCGAGGGGGTGTCCGCTAAAGCTCAAAGTCTCTTTCATAAGAAGGCAGGTTTTCCGAATGCCTGTGCTAAGAAATGGACACATTGGATAGTTTCCTCTTTTCACCTGTGCAGACCCATTTGTGTAACTGGGATTATGTAGAAGTTTACCTTCTTGGGTTTCTATTGGTAGTGAGTGTGGAGTGGGCCCATAGGAGAGGGCCTAGATCCTTTTCCTCTTTGCACACAATATGCCACAACGCCTAATCCTCACGGCTTCCAACCGCACGGGGACGTTTAGTATATATGCGTGCGTGCCCTGTCCCGCTGAGCAGGCACCGCGGGCGGCGGGGCTGCGGGGGACAGGCTGACCCTTCCGGGCTGACCAGCCCCGGCTCCTGGGTTCACAGACACTGTGGCTGCAGATATGTGACACTTATTTATGTCGGAGAAGTCACAGTGCTATTTCCAACATGTGGCCTCCTCAGGACAATTTGTTAGAAGTAACGGAATTGACAACAACAACAAAATAACCGTTAACTCAATGATAAGCACAGCCTGGCTAAGAGCGTGTTAGGAACAGGTGCTCGTTTCCCACGCGGCAGCGGTTATGGAGGCTCAGAGCCGGGGCTCCCTGCAGGCGGAGCGGGTCCCCCGCCATCCCGGGGCACCGCCCACCCACGCTCTGTGTTTCAGGAGGCGGAGGAGCCCCGAGCCCGGCCCGGAGCTGCCGGGGATGGACGCGTCCGCCGGCTCCTGTCCTGGTGACCTGTGTCCACCAGCTCTGCACTGACCCCCCGACAGCATCCCGAGCAAGCACCCCACCGAGGACTCCCCTGTGGGACCCGCCCAAGCACCCACCAAGGACTCCCCCTGTGAGGCCAGTGCTGCTCCGGTGAGAGCCCCTCATTCCAGGCAGCGTCTGCACCGGGAGCACCGGGAGCACCGGGGAGCAGGCCTGGCAGCAGCCCTGTGGATACCGTGGTTTCTGTTCCTCCCACACCCGCTCCGAGAGCCCCGCTCCTGCTTCTGGAGGCTCTCGCCTCTCCTCCCCCCTCTGCGGGGGGAGCGGCCGCCCTGCTCTGTGACCGGAGCAGCCCGCGGTGGTTCTCATGCCCCCGTAACCTGGGCCACGTCTCACTGTGCGGCCTTCCCTTCCATGTCCCGGATGGTGGTTTTCCCCTTATTTTTGTCAATTGATCAGTTTACCAGAGAGCAGGTCTGAATCACAGAGCCCCAAGGAAAGGTTTCCCGGGTGCTCACAGGTGGACAGATGCCACCCTGGGTGAACTGCTCCCACCTTTTCTGTTTGGTGGAAACAGCCAGCAGCGCCCGGCTTCCCTGGGCGGGAATGGCCGTCTCCTGCCCCGCCCGCCTCTGCGACCTGTACCCACAGAGCTGTCTGTGCCCTTCACTGGTAGCCGGGATCACCAAACAGCTAAATAGAAGAATTTTGAAATGGTATTTTATGACTTAAAAAATTTAGGGCTGGTGAAAAAAAAAAACACAACCCTAACTGATGGTGATTTTGTTCAGTGGTGCACAAAGCTCTGAGAACTGGAAGAGATTCCCTACTTCTTTCTTTCTTCTTCTTTTAAACTTCACTTGTTTTGGGGGAGAATTTGGTGCGGGACAAAGAAATGCCAAAACTGACAGAATGAAATCAACTTTACTTTTTTTCTCTTATACTAGCAGATAAAATGTTGTGAGCTACAAAAAGAGAGCTTTTTAAAAAGTCTAGTTTTCTGGTTTATTTCCAAACTTAAGAAATAGCAGCATTTATTCAAAAGACAGAAAACAGCTAAAATTTAGGCGTCCCCCAAATCTTAAGAACATGATATGTTAGTTTTCACTGACGGGACTACAGATGCTATTTCTTTTAATAAACTGGAATTTTCAAACAGATGGTCTATGTTTAAAGATACTGAAGGAAAGATTAAATGCGTGGTGGGTAGGCAGGCTGAACAGCCCTCTCAGGCGGTGGATACAGGAAAATGGGATTTCTCTAAGGAAAGGGGCTGGAGGTGGGGATATCCCAAGGGAAGGGCTGACAGCACTGAACCTGAGGGCACAGGGCCCATGGCAGCAGCGAAAATGGACTCAGGACAGTGAAGCAAGGACAGCAGGGAAGAAGCAATGGGAGAGCCCAGGCTGAGCTGCTCTGGCTCGCCGGGAAGTCAGAGCAAAGGGGCCTGCAGATGGGATGAGCTGGCACTGCCCACTGCTCCCCTGGGGGCAAGTCTGATGAGGCGGGGGACCTGTGCCTGCGAGGGAATGGCGGCTGTGTTCCTTAGAGGGAGAGTGCCCACAGGGCCCTTTGCTCTGAGCTGTTTCTCTCTCCTGCAGGTGGGACCTGGGGGCGGTCTCAGGGGAGGGCCTTTAGAATATTCACCAGCTTCCCGGTGAGCTCTTCCAGGGCCCTGGTCTCCGCTGATTGGTTGGCACCAGGGCCAGGGGCCATTGGTCAGTTTAGCTGGACCTGAGGCGGCCACGGTGTCACTTGTCTGGTTTTGCTGCTTTCCTGGGCCTCTAGGGAGGAAAGGTCAGGGGGTCTACACCGCCTCAGCAGGCTCTGATGACCTGGGTCTGAACCGCAGGACCCTTGCTGTGCTAGGGAGGAGTGACCCTGGGGTGAGATTGTTTTCCCAGCTTTGCCCCTGGCTGGGCATCTGGAGCTTTCTGTGCCTGGCCCTTTGCCCTTGCTCTGCTCATGTCCAACACTGAACTTTGATATGTTTTCCCCCAAGAGTTCTTTAAAAAACTGGTGTAATTTATATACAAACCTTGATTCACAAATACATTCCCTATCTGTCTTGTTTTGCTCATTACACAAAGTAGAGTTTCAAAACCCAGTTTTAAAACAAAATCAGATTTAGAGTCTATATTATTTTTTATTCACATTTTCTATTTTTCTCCATAATTCACCCTTTTAAAATATAAACACTGGATGTTTCTTTACACAGATGGCCTGGATGATGTCCCAGGATAATGAGAAAGTAGTTACAAACTCAGGGAATGTGTTATCAGCAAAACTTCTAGCTGTGTCTTGGCCAAATACCCAGTTATTCATTGTCTTCTTCCTAAACAGAACTTAAACATTTATGTAAATAACCTTTAGCAATAAAGATTTATCAGTTGTACAACTGGCTTTATATACACATCTAAATTTTAAATAGCAGGTCACAGAAAGCAGATGGATATGCATTTCATCTTCACTGACCATTTTCTTACTGGAAGCCTGGAAGTTAATAACGGATAGAATTAACATCTACTGGAGAAATAAACTGACGTGGAGTTTCACAGAATTTTCACATTGCCATGGACAACTCAGAATCCGGCACAATAAGCTACTTACTTTGGGGATTCTTTTGTGAGAAACGCTCACCTGTCTGAATTCAAATAACAGACTTGGAGACAATATGGCAAAAAATGAGACTTTTAATGCCGTCTTGCAAGATCGGGCGTCTGGTTGAGCAGGCACACCGGGCGCGTGGATCCAGGCAGTGTATCCCCAGTCCGGGAGAGCCCCTCCCTGGCTGCTCATTGGCTGAGCACTATGGGGCTAACAGTTTCCCCACCCTTGCCTACGGCTTATTGTCTCCTACAGGATTATTTTAAAAATGGGCTGAGGCCTTTTCTAGTTGCCTCCACCTCCCCTTGTCTATTTGTGGAGGGTGGATCTTCCGGGGAAATGTGCTGCTGGTCATGCACACAGGTTTTTTTTCTTTTTCTTTTTTTTTTTTTAATATATCTTTATTGATTTCAGAGAGAAAGGGAGAGGGATAGTTAGAAATATCAGATGTGCCTGCAACCAAAGTACATGCCCTTGACCGGAATCGAATCTGGGACCCTTCAGTCCACAGGCTGACGGTCTATCCACTGAGCCAAACTGTCGGTGCAGACAGTTCTTTGTGCTTATACCCTTTCCCCTCCTCCCTACATCCTTTGCCCCGCCTCCCGGCTGCCCCCCCCCCCCCCCCCCAAATTCAGTAACCGACTGGCAATGCGCTGTCAGTTTTCTGCATGAAAGCTGACTTGCTGGAGATAGTCACAGAGGCCTGTGTCCTGCACTTTAAGGCAGAGCATCATCAATTCCATTTGGGGCCCTTTCATTACCTTCTTAAAGGTGAACACACCGGTTTTCACCTCTAGTAGACGCTAACTAGAGGAATGAGGTTGAGAATGGAAAGTTATGAAAATTCCCGAAAAGTGAACAGAGTCTGGCTCCCCTCTGGCGTTCACTCACTGAGAGGCCAGGCTGGCTGGAGAGGGAAGCAGGCACCGGCCGCTTCTTCTTTAGGAGAACGTGAGGCCAGGCTTCCTTCCATGGCCAGCTCAGTGAAACTTCCTCCTCCCTGGCCCAGTGAAAGGCCAGTGTCCGGCCCGGGCCCCTCTGCTCCGTCTGTAATGTTAGCCACTGCCGGTCACCGCACCGCAACAAGCAGATCCCGCAGGACAACGGAGATGACCAGCCGCTCCGCTGAAGGCACCGGCCACTCTCCTTCAAGGCCCAGCAGTCCATTCGAATAAATGCACATAACCCTGTCCGAATGCTCAAACCCTGTCCGAATGCACACGCCCCTGTCCGGATGCACACGCCCCTGTCCGAATGCACACGCCCTGTCCGAATGCACATGCGCCTGTCCGAATGTACAAATGCCTGTCCGAATGCACACGCCCCTGTCCGAATGCACATGCGCCTGTCCGAATGTACAAATGCCTGTCCGAATGCACACGCCCCTGTCCGAATGCACACGCGCCTGTCCGAATGCACACACGCCTATCCGAATGCACACACCCCTGTCCGAATGCACACGCCCCTGTCCGAATGCACACGCCCCTGTCCGAATGCACACACCCCTGTCCAAGTGCACACACCCCTGTCCGAATGCACACACCCCAGTCCGAATGCACACACCCTGTCCAAATGTACACGTCCGTCCGAATGCACATGCCCCTGTCTGAATGCACACACCTCTGTCCGAATGCACACACCCCTGTCTGAATGCACACACCCCTGTTCGAATGCACACGCCCCTATCCGAATGCACGCACCCCTATCCGAATGCACACACCCCTGTCCGAATGCACACGTCCGTCCGAATGTACACACCCTGTCCGAATGCACACACTCTGTCCGAATCCAAATGCAAACACCCCTGTCCGAATGCACATGCCCCTGTCCGAATGCACACACCCCTGTCCGAATGCACACGCCCCTGTCCGAATGCACGTACTCTGTCGGAATGCACACGCGCCTGTCCAGATGCACAAACGCACCTGTCTGGATGCACACGCCCATCCAAATGCACACACCCCTGTCTGAATGCACATGCCTGTCTGAATGCACACACCTCTGTTCTGTTGCACACGTCCCTGTCCGAATGCCCACACCCCTGTCCAAATGCACGCACCCCTATCCGAATGCACACGCCCGTCCGAATGCACACACCCTGTCCGAATGCACACACCCTGTCCGAATCCAACTGAACACGCCCCTGTCCGAATGCACAAACGCCTGTCCAAATGCACACACGCCTGTCCAGATGCACAAACGCACCTGTCCGGATGCACACACCCGTCCAAATGCACACACCCCTGTCCGAATGCACACACCCTGTCCGAATGCACACAAGCCCGTCCGAATGCACACACCCCTTCTGAATGCACACACCCTGTCTGAATGCACATGTCTGTCTGAATGCACACACCCTGTCCGAATGCACACGCCCCTGTCCAAAAGCACACGACCCTGTCTGAATGCACATGTGCCTGTCCGGATGCACAAACACACCTGTCCGAATGCACACGCCCATTCAAATGCACACACTCCTGTCCGAATGCAAACACCCTGTCCGAATGTACTCACCCCTATCCGAATGCACATGCATCTGTCCAAATGAACACACACACCTGTCCAAATGCACACACCCCTGTCCAAATGCAAACACCCCTGTCCGAATGCACACACCCCTGTCCGAATGCACATACCCCTGTCCAAATGCACACATCCGTCCAAATGCACACACCCCTGTCCGAAAGCACACACACCCCTATCCGAATGCACATGCATCTGTCCAAATGCACACACACACCTGTCCGAATGCACACGCCCCTGTCCAAATGCACACATCCCTGTCCGAATGCACACACACCCCTATCCGAATGCACACACCCTGTCCAAATGCACAAGACCCTGTCCAAATGCATATGCCCATGTCCGAATGCACACGCCCCTATCCGAATGCACACGCCCCTGTCCGAATGCGCACGTCCCTGTCCGAATGCACACACCCTTGTCCGAGTGCACACACCCGTCCCAATGCATGCACCCCTGTCGGGATGCACACACTCCTGAGCGGATGCGCACGCCCCTCTCCGGGTACCGGTGGGTCGGCGGGAGGGAAAGACCAGACGCGGGAGAACGACAGCAGGATCCAACGCAGCGCCCGGAGGTGCGGCCTGGGAGAGCTCTCCCGCCTCCGGAACCGCCATCCTAAGCGCTTCCGCCTCCACCTGCGCGAGGCCACTTCCGGTGTCACCTGCGTGACGCCACTTCCGGTGTCACCTGCGCCGTCAGGGAGATAAACACGGTGCGGACCAGCCGCCGGGATGCAGCCGCCTGGAGCCGCCCCGCTGGCGCTGCTGGGCGTCCTGCTGCTCCGGGGTGAGCGGGGGGGGGCAAGGGGGTAAGCGGGGGCGGGTCCTGATGCTCCGGGGTGAGCGGGGGGGGGGTGTGTGGGTGGGGGGGGTGTGGGTGGGTCTTGCCCTCGGGGTGAGCGTGCGGAGCTGGGGGTGGGCGCGGGGTCCGGGGAGGAAGGAAGCAGGATGTGGGCAGGATGCTCGCCCCCTGCCATCACCCCCGTCGGCCGGTCCGCACTTTGGGGGGCCCGGGACTGACCGCGGGCCGGGCGGGAGGGTTCCGGAGGCGGAGGGGACCGGGCTCCGGTTTGGGCCCCGCTGTCTGCGCGGGGCCGGGCTGGTGAGGGTCAGGCAGGGGCAGCCTGGCGTCCAGGACTGGTCTCAGGATGTGGGGGGAGAAGAACATGACTGGGTGACTTATTTTGGGGGGAGTGAGTAACAGAGCCTAGGACACAAAACATTAGTTACAGGAAAGATGCGCTGATTTGGTTCTGTAACAGCGGCGCCTTTTGTTGAGGAAGAAGCTTTAGAAGTTTAATAGCAATTATTTTAAATAAAAGAAAGGGAACATTGATTCTGTTAGAAGCTTAGCGTGTAGCATTAACTGATATCAGAAGTACAGAATCCACACTGTGACATATTCTTAAGATTTGGATAAGTTTTGCTTTCATGCAGTTCCCAAATTGCAGAAATTTCAATCCAGTGTAATCACCTGGTTTTAAGTTTCAGTTGTTTGTTGGATTTTTGAAAACATGTGTGTGTGTATATCTTTTGGGGAAATCCTGTTAGGAGAGCTGGCAGGACAGTTCCCATGGTGACATGGCCGGTGGGGAGTGGGGCCTCCCGCGGGGACCTTAGCAGGAAGAGAGGCGAGCTGCATCCCACGGGAAGGCGGGGAGTTGTCCTTGGTTTGTGAGTAATATTCCTGCCCGCACGCCCGTCCCTCCCGCTGCCGCTGTCATTACAAGTGACCAGTTTTTCAGCTAAATTATTTTGCAACAAGATACTTCGCTTGACTTGTCGCTCCTCGTTTCCGACCCCTCCCCACAGAAGCGTTCAGATGTTGTCACATGGAGATAAAAAAAAAGTAGAAATGATGGGTGGTTTCTTAAACTTGATGTCATTTCACATCTAGCCTGCATCAAACCTGGCAGCCACATAATTCACACATTAGAAGTGGATTTTATGATCGGCGTACTTTAGGAATTGATTTATCTTTTGCTTTTAAATATAAGTTGTTTTAAAAAAAATAAATATTTCTATTGACTTCAGAGAGGAAGGGAGAGGGAGAGAGAGAAACAACAATGATGAGCGAGAATCACTGACTGGCTGCCACCTGCATGTCCCACATTGGGGATCGAGCCCACAACCCGGACATGTGCCCTGACCGGGAATCGAACCGCGACCTCCTGTTTCATAGGTCGATGCTCAACCACTGAGTTGGGTTATAAATAAGTTCTTTTTGAGATACAATTCACATGCCATGTAATTTGTCCATCTAAGTGTACAATTTGGTGGCTTTTAGTATATTCACAGAATTCTACAATCATTTCACTATCAATTTGGCATCATTTTCATCGCCCCGAAGAGAAACCCCATATCCATGAACAGCCACTCCCCATCCCTCCCTTCCCCTCGCTCCTGCACATGTCAGTCTTCTATTGCGGTGGATTTCCCTTTCTGGACACTTCAGAGCCTCAGAATCCTATAATCTGTGGATTTGTGTGTGTGTGTGTGTGTGTGTGTGTGTGTGTGTGACTGGCTTCTTTCAATGAGCGTGTTTTCAAGGTTCAGCCTTTAAAAACAATCCTTTGAATCTGCTAGGGATACCTTTGTTCCACACATGTTTGTCTTTACTCTTCGAAGATAGGACCCGATGCTTATTAGCGTGTTTGAATTCTCCTTAAGTTAAACGCGGTCCCGCTTATCAGTTGTCTGAGTGCACCTAAGGTTCTTACACTTCTCTCTTTTTCATTTAAGCTGGAAGTTTTATGAATCAAAGGCTGACAATGTATATTTTGGAAAACTGGGTGTACAAAATTGAGAGTTTGTTCATTTAAAAAATTTCTTCCATGTCTAAAATTACTTACGTTTAACTGTGATTTCCCTGCTTTCTTCCCAGATTAATTTTTTTTTAATTTACTGATTTTAGAGAGAGAGGGAGGAGAGAGAAAGAGAGAGGGGGGTGGTGGGGAGAGAGAGACCAGTTTGTTGTTCCACATATTTATGCGTTCATTGGTTGATTTCTGTATGTTCCCTGCCTGGGGATTGAACCTGCAACCTCGGTGTATGGGGACAATGATCTAACCAACTGAGGTACCTGGTCAGGACAAAATTAAATCTTAAAAAGGCAGGGAAGTTACTTAGAGAAAGGGAGTGAGGAGAATTCCAGACATTCAGAGGAACATAAACAGCACATGGAAGCATTAAATAACTCTCCAAGCAGATTTTCTTAACAAACCTTTCCTGGGTTAGCGCAAAGCACGCAGGCTGGCCGGACGTCTCTGATCAGCTGGGCGTGCGCTGGGGTCAGCTCCCACGGGTATCGGAGTGGGAACGCACATTCCCTCCTAATGGCCTCCGAGACTTCACCTCTGTAGCTGGGAATTAGCCATGGTGGGAATGTGTTCTCACAGAAGTTGTCAAACCCTATGTATTTGATTTTTTTTAACTATTTTTTTTTTATGGATTTCAAAAAGGAAGGGAGAGGAAGAGAGATAGAAACATCAATGATGAGAAAGTATCATTGATCAGCTGTCTCCTGCATGCCCCTCACTGGGGATCCAGCCTGCAACCCAGGTATGTGTCTGACTGGGAATCGAACCTGGTTCATAGGTCAATCACCACTCAATCACTGAGCCATGCTGGCTGGGCTTGAATTTTTTTCCTTCTAGCTGTTTCCCAGCACACCTCTGGATGTAGTGATTGTTTTAATGATCTGGGTCCTGCCCCCACCTCCCAGGCCGGGGTAGGGTCAGCTGCTGGGTACACCTCCTTTGCTCCTCCCTCGCCTGGTCCGCTCTGCTCTCTCCTCCCGGCAGGCTGACCTTTAGCCCCAGGCAGGCGCTCTCCGCTGGCCTCCAGCAGGTCTGGTCGCTGGTGGCAGGGGCAGGAGGTGAAGGACATCTGCCCTGCTCCCTCCTCGCCGTGGTGCCCTGGCCCGTGTGCGAGCCCTCCGTGGCGACAGCGCCTGGTGGGTGGCCTGGGGCCATCTCCACCAGACTCTGTGGCGCCCTGCTCCCCCTTCCTCCTGAGGCTCGGGGGCCACGGGCTTGTGCTCTGCCAGCTTCCTTGACCCTCTGCAAAGGGGCCCATGCGCGTTTCAGACTCTCAGCTGGTGATGGCTGTGTGCTGCCGGCCTGTCTGATCCGGGCATTCCCCCGGGCTACGTGGGGAGGGCGGGCATCCGAAGCACATCCGTGTATGTTAGGGGCGTGAGGGGGATGGATCCACCTGAGACCCTGCGGTGGTGTGTTCAGGGCTGTCCCCAGGCACGCGGGCGCTCGGAGGTCAGTGTGACCAGCGATTCAGGCTGGGTATGGTTCGCCGGTTGGCAGTGGTTGCACTTACAGAAGTGGGTAGGGTTGGCCCGGAACAGCGCTGTGTGAAGACGTGGGCCCTGGGGGACTCTAAGGAGCACCGGTATTTAAGGGGCGGGCAGGAAGGGAAGAGCCTGAGAAAGATTTTACAAAAACGTCAGAGCTGCGGTGGTGTGTGTGTGTGTGTGTGTGTGTGTGTGAGTGTGAGTGTGTGTGTGTGAGTGTGTGTGTGAGTGTGTGTGTGTGTGAGTGTGTGTGTGTGTGTGTGTGAGTGTGTGTGTGTGAGTGTGTGTGTGTGTGAGTGTGTGTGTGTGTGTGTGTGTGTGTGTGAGTGTGTGTGTGTGAGTGTGTGTGTGAGTGTATGAGTGTGTGTGTGATTGTGTGTGTGTGATTGTGTGTGTGTGTATGAGTGTGTGTGAGTGTGTGTGTGTGTGTGTGTATGAGTGTGTGTGTGTGAGTGTGTGTGTGTATGAGTGTGTGTGTGTGTGTGAGTGTGTGTGTGTGTGAGTGTGTGTGTGAGTGTGTGAGTCTGTGTGAGTGTGTGTGTGTGTGAGTGTGTGTGTGTGTGTGTGTGAGTGTGTGTGTGTATGAGTGTGTGTGTGTGTATGAGTATGTGTGTGTGTGTGAGTGTGTGTGTGAGTGTGTGTGTGAGTGTGTGTGTATGAGTGTGTGTGTGTGAGTGTGTGTGTGTGTGTGTGTGAGTGTGTGTGTGTGTATGAGTGTGTGTATGAGTGTATGTGAGTGTGTGTGTGTATGAGTGTGTGTGTGAGTGTGTGTGTGTGTGTATGAGTGTGTGTATGAGTGTATGTGAGTGTGTGTGTGTGTATGAGTGTGTGTGTATGAGTGTGTGTGTGTATGAGTGTGTGTGTGTGAGTGTGTGTGTGTGAGTGTGTGTGTATGAGTGTGTGTGTGAGTGTGTGTGTGTGTATGAGTGTGTGTGAGTGTGTGTATGAGTGTGTGTGTATGAGTGTGTGTGAGTGTGTGTGTGTGTGTGTGTGAGTGTGTGAGTGTGTGTATGAGTGTGTGTGTGTGTATGAGTGTGTGTGTGTGTATGAGTGTGTGAGTGTGTGTATGAGTGTGTGTGTGTATGAGTGTGTGTGTGTATGAGTGTGTGTGTGTGTGAGTGTGTGTGTGTGTGTGAGTGTGTGAGTGTGTGTGAGTGTGTGTGTGTGTGTGTATGAGTGTGTGTGTGTGTGTGAGTGTGTGTGAGTGTGTGTGTGAGTGTGTGTGTGAGTGTGTGTGTGAGTGTGTGTGTATGAATGATACAATCAGGGAGGAGAGTTGGTTGGAGGGAGATTCTGGTTGAACTCTAACCCATATTCTTTGCTCTAAGTCAGGGTGGCAGCCTTCGGTAAAGGGCGGGAGAATCAGTAGCTTATGGTCTGCTGCAGCTACTCGCTCAGCTCTGCCCCGGAGGCAGGACAGCGATGGGCAGTGTGGTATGTTTCTCTGGATATCATGGGCTGACGTGGCCGGTGAGCCACAG